TAAAGGGACACAGGAAGCAAAGCAGAGGTGATGTGGTCAGAAGCCTTTTAACAGGACACGGTGAGACCACCAACTATTCCCACAGAAGTCCCCCAATCCCTAACAGATGGTGATGACAGCATCACGTACCAATACCATGTACAATGAAGGCTGAAGTTGAACCGGCTATCGAGTGGCAAAAGGCTCTTAAATTCACTAGCATTCATGTCAGCTTCTAATGAGGTTCTTTCTCCAAAATACACTTACAATTTTTTTAAAAAAAAAATCAAATTATATCTGAAGAAAATACTAAACCTCCATTAGCCTCATTAGGTTCATTTTTTACTGTGGTATTTTGATACAAGAGTATGGTGGAATAATTATCTTATAGATGGCACCAGATATTTAGTTACTAAAATTAGTATGAAGTCCCTGGTGTTATTTTTAAAATACATGATTATTTTTGTAGATCTACAGTAGCCTCCAGGAAAAAAAAAAAGTTATCCTCAAAAGCTTCTTCAGTGCTAGGATCATGTAACAGAAATTAGAGCTCTAGGGTTTAATTCCTATCAATCAACAAAATTAGTTTCACACTACTCCCGGCCAGAGGAGCTAATATACACAATAGCAGAGATCGTCAGAGAAGAGCTTAAAATAAATCCAAGAGCGGATGAGTATTGCTACATGGTGCCATCCCCTGTATTGTTCTTCTAATTTTATAAAGCCCCAATCACTGAACTAATTATTAGAGGCACTTAAGTTGTTTTACTGATCCTAGCAGCCTTCGTCGCACTCAGGCAGCTCTGAGGAGATGCTCAAACACACGGGGCTGGCCCTGGACACATTTTGCTGCTGTTAGGAGCCCTGGATGTCCCCCAGAACAGGGAAATGTTTGAGCAGGTTTTTAAACAGAGGGCAAATAAAAAGTAGATGTCTTTAAAAATACAGGCCTCCGAGGCATCTCAGGTTTCCCCCACTGCAGCAAGCACAGAAGACTGCTTGTCTTGGCTCCCAAACAGATTGATGTGTTCAGCCGGAAGATTCACTATAGCTGACAGAGAACATTTCCTTCATCGTATTGCTTCGCCATGCAAGGAGATAACTCAGGCTAATAATATTCTGTCTCCTTTTTATCTTCCTATAGCCTATGCATAACTTAATTCTTAATTCCAAAGGGCTTGCAGAGGAGATTGGCCTGGTGCTAGTTTCATTTACACACATATAAATCAAAACTCAGTCTACCGGAATAGATAGCACTGCACTGGTGTTAAAAAAAATAAAATCCTCAGCGAGGCCAGAAAATTCCTCCTCAGCTCCCCGATCATGCACACCATGTTATCCTAGATTCAGTCACAGCCTCCAAATTTCTAAACATCACATCCCAATTAAACTTGCATGTAAATAGGGGCTATCCTGATTCACAAGAAATACAGCTTTGCTGATCCAGAAAGCACTAGCATAAACGTAAAATAAGCAGAAAATGGCAGAGTGATAGAAATCTGTGGCAATTATCTTTACTTCTAATAAACAGCATCTTCATTTCTTAGTAACTAATTATAGTGGAACTGTTTGGAGACAAGGACCTTGTGATACGCCTGAAAGAACTGTCACAGCACCGAACCAGGACCACATTTGTCCACAGCATCAGACACCCACTCGCAACCTCCTCCGAGTACCCAAGGCTGCAGGATCAGGTTTTTGAGAATCTTCCAGGACCCCCAAATCACCCCAGGTACTATGGATTGCAAGGTTACCATTTTGGGATATGAACAAACCGCGTTCCTAGATCTGATGTCATAACCCCCACGCAGTAACCCTCAGCCACACGGGAAACCTCATTGACCGCAGGCACCTGCCTGACGGCGACTCGCAGCTGCATGAAAGCACTCACTATTCTGCTCTAACTCAAACACACATTGCTGCTTTCAGAAAACCCACATTATTATTCTGGGTTTGAAGAAGGAATTGCGGAAAGCTGAATCAAAAACTTTGAAGACTGCTAGCAAGACCCTGGTTTCACTTATGCTAATCTATCATCGTATTTCATCACCAATCTCATACCTGCTCAAAGCTCCCAGCAATGTGCCCCCTCTGTCCCCTCCATTAAGATATAAAACAAGGGTTAAGTGACAGATATTATCAATGTGGATAGCAATCTGTCTCACTCAGAAACCATTGCACCGGGAATAAAGAAAGAATTATTATACTGGTGTCAATATGATAAATTACAGTCTCTCTTTTTTCCTAAAGAATTTCTAGTTTTTCAACTAGCACAGAAAACTCTCCCCCTATTCAGCACTCTGAACATCAGAGTTTCTCCTGACATTCTGTTCAGAGTCTCTGCTAATGAAACTGTTTATTTTGGTGGATGGCTGAAGCAGTTATTCATTACAGCACTTATCTTGAAAGAAGTATGAACTGGGAGCCAGTGATATGAATTCAAACTGCTCCTTCCATATATTTGTTTCCAAAAAGTAAGTAAATTTGAAAGCTCTGCTGGTTGCCCTTATTAAAGTGAACAAAATGTTGAGGGAAAACGAGTTTTCAGTGTTTTCTCACACCACATAGGTTACCCAATCCCTCATGCCAAACCCACAGAGTTTGTGGTCACGTTTCCCTCTGACAGCAGTGAGTTCACAGCTGCGGCACCAGACAAAACAGAGCTAGGAGGAACCTGAAGAAGTCACCTCCTGATTTATCATCCCCTCTCCCTAACATTTATACCCATACCAGAGGTTTGCCTATAGAGGTATGTGGGAATTTAAGAAGAAATTAGATGACTTATTCTAGTGCTAATGGGAATCCATGAGACATCTTTTCCTTGTCTACAGCCTAAGCTTCCCCTGCTTCAGCGTAACGCTTTTGTTTCTTGCCCTAGCACTACAAACCCTTTCCTTTTGCAGCATCACAACATGCTTTCAAAGTCCCTTCTCACTCTCTTCTGTTCTCTAGCCTGAGCAACCTCTACCCTTTAATCCTTCCATGACAGGCCACTTTTTCCTAGACCTCTGATCACTCTTGCTGCTTTCTGCTCCACACCTCTCAACGTGTAATATCCCAAACAGTACTCCACAGAACCAATCCGAAAGGATCTGTAGGAAGTTGTCAAAGTGCACTGCTGGGCACATTTTTATGATGGGAGGCTGTACCATAGAGGAAGAAATGTTCTCTGGTATAACTAGAGAGATGTCCTTCAAAGGCTTCAAACATCAGGGCAGAACAAGGCTTTGCAGTGGGGACCAGGAAGGGGAATGCTTTTTTACTGTTTCTAGAGAGACAAGCAGCTGGGTCTTGTATTAGCTCCTTCAGCACACACCTCTGGCCCCCAGCTTCTGCATCGTCAGAGAAAAGTCATCGCTGGCCTGATTCAGAGTGAGGCAACTGAAAGCAGCATCAAAGATTGAGCTAATAGGTTTAGTTGTGTGAAAGTGGGGAACAGAAGAGATGTATCTTGCTATTACTGGCACCTCCATGAGGGAGCAGCAATTAATAGAAAAGGTTGACGTGTTAGAAGGTAATTTTTGCTGTGCAATTGCCTGCAACCCCAAGCAATGTCATATCTTTGTACTTGTGACCGTGCACAGAATGATAAGATATAAGGGAGCAGTTTTATTAACTGCAGCAGCTGGAGGGGGACTGCCAAGCCCTGGGACGTGCACTCTCCCAGCCCCGCACCACGTCCATAATCTCTCTCACAATATGGTTGAAAATAGAGCTCGCTACAGGGAATTTTTTGGGGGGGGGGGGGGAGCAAAGCAATTCAGCTTATTAGTAAAATCTTGATAAGCAACAGTCCAACTCAGCAAAAAATGCATCGCCAGAGGACTGGTGAAGTCCAGGAAACAAGCACTGGCAGATCTGGCACACACGGCTACATTTGCCCCCCACTCGTCAGAGCAGAGTGATCAATCTCCCAAGAGCCTTCAACTCTCTCCCGTACCAAACGCAGGATCTTTGTTCTCTGCGCATCCCACATTTAAGGAATCAAGTGTGTTACTGAGACCCTTACCTCTTGACTTCCAGATGCAGCCAACCCCTCTGCCTTCCAGCTGTTAAATTCACACTCTTTGCAAAAATGAGCACTGTTTAACACCTGGGTTTAAATAAGGAGCTCCTGGGTGGCACAGGGTGTGTTATTGCAACCCTGAACATTCCTCTTCAGCCCCTCACTTGCCCTGGGATAACCTTCACCTCAATAACTGGTGCAGTGGTTCTTGGGTAAGGATATTTGGCAAGCTTGAAAATAGGGAAAGGAAGCTGGATGAGGGCGTACACAGCCTCATACTCTCAAAGGCATTAAACATTGGCTCAGAAATACCTACCTGGACACTGAGCCCTATAAACTGTCTCCCAAAGCTTGCAAAGATAAATATGCACTGGCAACAGACCTTTCCTCCAATGTCCCCAGGGAAAGGGATGGGGTCCTATGTGTCGGAGGAGGGACATGGAGACTAATGCAGGTGTTGGTTTACATGCAGAACCATTTGAAATGCCCTTCTTTGAAAACTTCCCCCTCAGTCCACCCATGTTCCTTCCCAAGCCTGGAGAAATCTCTGGGAAGTGCTGGAGCAGGAAGATCCCCCTCCTTGCATGGAGCAAGGCTCTCCTCCCCAGCAACTACAGTCCCCTACCCCAGCTCTCCTGAACCTCCCACAAGATACTGGAAAGCAACAGCAGCCAGGTTGCTACATACAACTGCAGACCTCTAAGCACTCTCCTCCCTTTCCACTCCTCTAGAAGATCCGCACAGAAACACGGGGAACAAGAGCTCCTGCTCCTTGCTGTCGTGAGCCTGAAGGCCAGGTTTGCTCACACTGCCTCCGCTCTGGGCTCCTGCATTACCGAGCGTGCAATAAAAACCATCAGAGCACACACAGGAGGAGGAAGGGAAAACTTTTGTTTCTCCGTCCCAAGAATTGAAGGTACTAAATGTTAATACTTGGAAATCAGCAACTGCCAAGAACAAGTTCCCCACCCACCCATCCACCCTAAGCTTTGAAGTGTTTTCTTTCTAGCTTTACCTTGGCACGCTGGCCAAATAAGTCACAAGTTTCCGAAGGTCTTCCTGCCTTATTCTGTCATGATTGCTGCGGGCTGGGAAGGTCAAGACAGGACCACCTCGTTTATCACGGCCACCTGTGGAAAATAAAGGATTGTTAGAAAATCAGGCAGGAAGCACACGTCAAAAAAAACTATGTGCGCTGAATTGATAAACATAAATTACAGCACATTCGAGAGCCCGTGCACTCTTTGTCGCTTTCAGACTTGCCTAATTGAGGAAGACATACTTGCATTTGCTGGAGCTCCAAAGGGGGCAAATAAAAAAAAAAAATAATCACCACCCACACAAAGGAAAATCGCTACTAGCATTTCTTCTGACTTTCAGCTAATCCCATCAAATCTAATGTAACTGCCAATCCAAGCAGGCAATGCTAATGATATCCTACTGTGGGGGTAGTTTTAACTGGTCAGCACCAAGAAAGTGAAAGTATTTTTCAGTATTACTCAATGTGTTGCATCATTCATTGCCAGATAGTTTACAGTGTCCCACCAGTTAGAAGCGATACATCCCACTAATGTTTATGCAGTAAAGGTTCTAATCTATCTGGCAATGCATTAGAAATTGAAATTTTGATTAGAAGTTCATGCCTCCTATGCTTTCCATTTAGAGAGCGTTGTTGGCAATAGGGATGTATTTTGGTTTGTTTTTTTCCTGAAGCTTTCCTGTCTTAAAATCCACTCCTTTTAAACTGCCAGTGTCTGGCATTTCGTGTTTTACAGCAATTGTCAAAAGACTTGGCATAAAAGAATGGCTTTACCCTGAAGGATACAATCACAAATATAGGGGTGAATACAATCTATTCTAAAGCACCTTATTTTATTCTCTGCTGTGAATAAAGTTTAATAAGCTTGAAAATGAAATCTAGTGCCTCGCTCAATGTCTTGTTCTTTCTTCACGTATTATCACAGGATTTTTTTCAGGACTTGTGTATTGTTAGACACATGTTTACATTGCTATCTAAGAAAAAAGTCATTGCAAAACTACAGTTCAAAAAACTAGCACAGAACTGCAAGGACCTTGCGTACAAGCTGTAAAAATGCAGATGAATGTGCTTTTCAATAGCAAGTATGATCCCTCTAACAGAAATATCACTTCTGAGAAAGGAAAATTACGTGCTTCCCTGAACTAGTTTACCTGGCCAACAAGAAGAAAAAACTATACAAGGGCACACACATCTCCAGCACTGATCCACGCTGCATTCTCTTGTGTAGAACGCAGGACACCCGCACTCTATGGGGCCATTACTTCTGTAGGGGTCCTAAACACTCTAATTCAGGAGAAAGACTCCCAAGAGGCTTGTTGTAAGAGCAGGATGAGCATGAGAGCACATGTGCACCTGGAAAAACAGTATCCTGGATCACCACAGGACAAAGGCAGAGTTTAGATCAGGAATCAAGGAGGTGCCTCGCATGGCAGGACTTCCTTCAGGTGGACAAAACAGAAACCAAACCAATGAGATACACGCGTGTACCCCCAAGGCACAGGTCTTCCAGCTGGCCTTGGTGACAGAACAGAGAATTGACTTGACAATGCAGCTCCCATCTGATAACATATCCTCTATCCATTCTATTCTGAAACTGTCCACTCAGTTGATGCCACGCTAGGTACAAGCTTACCTTCTAGCGCAAAGTGTCTCTCTATTTGACGAGAGTCACAGAGAAGCAGCTAAAAATAGCAAAGTTGTTACTATATATACATTTTTAAAAAACAAACAGTTTATCAGCATTGAAATTGCCATAGTTTTCAATGGATGCTGTGTGTACCTGAAGGGCTACGTCATGCAACTCCCCATTGGAGCCAGGTCGTGTTTGATTTCTGCAGGGGTACAAACAGAAAGGCAAACAAGAGATGCCATCTTCATTTCGAGCCCTCATATAGGTATGGGTATGTATGGGGTACAAAAACCATCCTGCCTAATCTCCACCCAAATCTCTGTGCCTGATGTTTGCCTTTGGCTTCAGACTGTGAAGGTGAGGAAGGTCCGTGGGAATTTGGTGTCACCTTGGCTGATCCACGCCTCCACCACATAGGAAGAGAACGGGGGTGCAACGTAACAAGGATTCAATTTACAAGAAAAAAGCTCATTTTTATTTTCAGACCTATATACATATTAAAAAATCCTCATGTTAAGCACATTCTCCCTTCTTTGAGATTATTTCACATACTGTAACAATGCCAAAACCATTATTTCATGCATGATGTGTCCAACAGAAAAGCAAACCAGCCTATAGAATGGCAAACCAATGTAGTAACTAAAGCTGGAGGGAAATATTTTTTCAACACAGGAAGCTTTTCAAGGTTTTGAAAAATTTCCCGTCATATCAAGATATAACCAAGGCTTTCAAAAGCTTCCAGATATTCACTGAAGCAGAGACCTGAACTTGAATTGCATCCCAGAGGAACACACTACCCACTACTCAGTCAGGCTACCTCTCCTCCTCCATTCCCAAATATTTAAATAGTTCTACAAAGTGGAAAAGCGCTGAGAGATGAGATCAGGAGACATCCAAGCCCACAGTTATAATCCTCTCCCAGGATATGAAACCCAGGAAGGGCCATGAGCTTCCCACAGCCCAGCAGCCCCGATTGCTCTGATGCTGCCCATTCACCTCAGCTTGGTAAACCAGAAATTGTGTTTCTGGCCAGAGAACTCTTTTTTTACAAGTCCCCCAAAAAGGGCTCTGGGGGAAAAAAAAAAAAAAAAAAAAAAAAAAATCAAAAGTTATCTAAACTCTGGTAGGCTAAAACAGTTAAATCAGAAAATTCTTGACCCTTTTACCAACAGTAACACAAGGATTTTGGCTACAATAAAGGAAACAGGGTCCAGAACATTCCTGTCCTGTCTTTGGTTCAGGATAAAAATTGTCCCTCAATAGCTCATCTAAACTGTCCTCAGGTGAGCAGGATAAATAAGGCTTTAGTGCAGAGTCAGAAGTTACCAGGACAGAGCGGAGAAAATGGGTTAATTCTCGCTGGAGGAAAAAGGTTACATGATGACCCAGTTGAAGGTTTCTGGACGATGGAAGGATAGAGAAGTGCCTGGACCAATTTCTTCTAGTCCTATGGCACAGAACAAGGAGACATGGGGCAAATCTCAAGAAATGTGATGTTAAGAAACAAATGTTTCTCATTTGTGATAAAAATACTGCTCTGTGCTTTGAGCAGTAGGGTGAAATTATTATTACAAGTGCATCGTACATATTAAAATCCTTCACTTGTTTCCAAATTATTCATGAGCAATCCCTAATTTTTATGAATGCCTGCATAATTTACAATCTTATGAAGAGCCTGTATGAGGAAACATCAGGTTTCTTCCAGAACAAACCACAGTACGTTTAATTCACCAGACTTGCAGAGTTTAATAACTGTGCTTTACTCTCTTAAATACTAATAATATGTAGCTTTTCCATTCCACTTTATAACTGCAAATCTCAGCTTTTCAAGGCAGACCAAATAGGATATTACCACAATCAAACTTTGAACACCTAATATGCCTATATTAGGACTCATCTCCTCTAACAGAGTCTCCAGCTGGGTAGCAACAGCAACTAGAAGAGAAGAAAATCTTTTGGCAATGGCTGTACCAGGAGTATACACCTTTCCTCTGCTTTATTATCTCCTTTTTTACTGAGGGGAATAGTGAGGTACAGAGAGGGGAAGAAATTCAGCCGAGATCCCACAGCAAGTCACTTGAAGAACCAGGAGTAGAAATAAGGTTTTCTGACTTTTAGTCTGTGTTAGAGCTTCATAGTTCTTAGGCTAAAAGTCAGCAACTAAAAACATTATAGATACTGTCTTTGCTTGTTAGTAATCCACCCAAGGAGACTAATCTTGCCCCAAGTCAGCCATGATCTCAACACCAATTTTACATGCACAGTGTCTTCAGAGATCTACCCAGCATATTGTTTTAAAAGAAAATAAAAAATGGAAGAAGGAGTCTCAATTGCTCTAATCAATACATCCAGTCTCCTGCCTCCCACTGGGCTCACAGACATGGGATGCAATAATCAAACATGTCATTAGGTTTGCTAATTACAGTTATTAAATGCTACAACAAACAGCTGATAATTTCTGATTGTTTTTCAAGGTGGGTTTTCATGGGCTTTGCTCTGATTTAGAGAGGCAAACAGATGGTCTAGTTATTAGTGCTCTGGAAAAAGGAGTCAGAAAAACACATGTTCTTTAGGGCACAAAGTAGACTGAGAACAAATATTTAGCCATATATGTCTTGCATTCCTCCTACAAAATCCTTTGTTGATGTCCTTGCCTTTCAGTGGTCTGCTTGCCAGTTCTTCCCATCTCCCTTTCTTCTGGCCTATACAGAAACCATTGCTAAATTCAGCATTTGTTCCCAGAAGTAGGATTACATCATTTTTCCTCCACAAATCATACAGGGGATATTGCAGGGATGGCACAAAGCATCGTGATGCATACTACATTAAAAGAAAACATTAAAGAAACCTCAAAAAAACCTGCATAGAAGCAGGTAGCACAGTCAGTGACCTTCTGATGACCACTTTTCTGGTCAAGCCTGCAACGAAGACGAAAGGGACTCCAGCCACAAGATGCCCGTCCTGGTAGCTGCCTGAACTGACATCTTAATCCTCTCAGCTGTGGGCACAAACATTTCTGGCTACGGTAGCTACAACTAAGTCAAGATGTTGGATAGCCCTGAGTGTTATTAATGTGAACTCTGTGAATGGACTTTCCCAATTTCAAGTCCTGAGGCACAGCCGTCCCTGATAACAGGCAAAAAGCTGAAATTCCAGCTTTGTGTAATCCTGTTTAGGCCAGGAAATTATCAGTTTCCTTTAACGCAGACTTCTTGTGTACAACAGATAATGATTTTATCAAGCTCTGTTTTCAAGCTGCTTCTTTTCAGTTCTATCAGCCATTCTACCATAACACCCACTTGCATTTATCTAAATTTAAGGGATTCAAGTCCTCTGTTTCCTTTTGCACTCTCTTTATAAGCATGAATTCACAAGGATTAACCATAGACACAGACAAACGTCCACACGTGTAAAGGCTCCTGAGTACCTTGTCTAAGGTCCTGCAACACATCAGCAATGGA